CCCCCCCCCCCCCGCAAGATTTTTTTTTTTTAAGCCGCTCCTTGAGTCCTCTGCGCCTGCGCATCGATGGCCTGTAGGCGTGCAGAGGGTCTCCAGGCCACGCTTCTAGCGGCAGAACTGCGCCCCCTCTTGGTCAATATTCGTAATACCTGCTCCCTAGACCGCGCTGCAACCTCCATCTGGCCGTGGCCTCCTCAGCCAAACCCAAAACTATGACGCCTTGGCAGCTACATTCCCTGGACCAGAACCCCCCGCCTTTTCAGTACCCACTAACTAGCCGCCCAGCTGGTCCTCCCGGGAGCGCTGCACCTGCTCTGTCACCTAGAGCGGTTGTTGTACTAGGATGTTATGCTACACAGTAAGTCTTTAATAAATCTTTGACAAGTAGATGGATGAGTAGAAAGATGGAAATTAGACCTGGTACCTTCAGTGAATGACTTCTAGAATCATAAAGACCCGGGTTTGGATTTGGGCAAGGGATTGCCCCTCGCCAAGCCTCAGCTTTCCTGGCCTGTCAATTGGGGTTCATAATACCTGTAGGGCAGGGTTGTTATGAGGTTTAGAGATAATTTATGAAAAGTGCTAGCAGTTGTTTGTCAGACAATAAGCTCTCCAAAACTTAATTGATTCACTCATTTGTGCACTAATTCACCAAATCTTGATTGAGCTCTTCTGTGTTCCAGATACATGCAAATTGGCATGCACACAGCGGAGGGTCCCCTGCCCACACCTTCAGGTGCACAGTCAGCTCACAAAACACCTGGACCTACAACCTTCCCTTCCTCCTTCCCAACGTCCCAAGACCTTACACAACCGTTGTACCTCAGAGAACTTCACTGAGCTTTGTGCATTCCTGTGTTTGGCACCCTTATTTCCACACAACCCCATTATCCACATAATAAAGATGACACTTCTTCCCCAAATGAATCTTTTTAAAAATATTTTATTTTTAGGGGCACCTGGTTGGCTGAGTTGGTTAAGCGTCCGACTTCAGCTTGGATCATGATATCGTAGTTCGTGAGTTTGAGCCCCGCTTCAGGCTCTGTGCGGACAGCTCAGAGCCTGGAGCCTGCTTCAGCTTCTGTGTCTCCCTCGCTCTCTGCCCCTCCCCCACTCACTCTCTGTCTCTCTCTCTCTCAAAAATAAACATTAAAGAAATTTACAAAAAGACATTTTATTTTTAAGTAATCTCTACACCCAACCTGGGTCTTGAACTTAAAACTCTGCAACTCTTAAAACTTGCAACAAACAACTTAAAACTCTTAAAACATGCAAATCAGGAGTTGCATGCTCTACCGACTGAGCCAGCCAAGTAACCCCCGAATAACTTTTTTTTTTTAAATCAACACATTACCAATAACATTTCCAAAATGGAATTTGTAAACCTGATGTTAAAATTCCTGTGGTACCTTGAATATGTAAGAATATGTAATCTTACAAAAGAGGAAGAAAGGATGGAGCATTGTCTTACCAGATTCAAAATATACCATAAATCATTAGTAAGTAAAACATTGTGATATGGGAATAGGAATAGCAAATGAGATCTATGGTACAGGAGAAGTCCAAAAATCGACCTAGATACTTGTGAGAATTAGTAAATGATGTTTCAAAAATGATATTTCAAGTAACTGGGAGGGAGATGGACGAATTTACTAAAATGGTTTGAGGAGAAATGACTGTCTTTTGGGGGGAGGGATTAGACTCCTAATTTACACAATTCAGAAAAAATAATTCCATGGAGCGCCAGGCTGGCTCAGTCCATGGAGCGTGTCCATGAAGCGAACTCTTGATCTCAGGGTCATGAGTTCGAGCCCCACATTGGGTGTAGAGATTACTTAAAACTAAAATCTTTTTGGGGCGCCTGGGTGGCTCAGTCGGTTAAGCGTCCGACTTCGGCTCAGGTCACGATCTCACGGTCCGTGAGTTCGAGCCCCGCGTCGGGCTCTGGGCTGATGGCTCAGAGCCTGGAGCCTGCTTCCGATTCTGTGTCTCCCTCTCTCTCTGCCCCTCCCCCGTTCATGCTCTGTCTCTCTCTGTCTCAAAAATAAATAAAAACGTTAAAAACAATTTAAAAAAAAAAACTAAAATCTTTTTTAAAAATTCCAGATTAAAGACCTAAACATCAAAAAAGAAACTTTAAAAACATCAGAACAAAATACTTTTGGAGAATACGTTTAAAAATTTGACGAAAGGAGCCCACTTTGTATCCTCCCTGCTGCTCTCTCTCTGCCCCTCCACCACTGACATTCACACACTCTCTCTCTCTTTCTCTCTCAGAAATAAATAAACATTCAGAAAAATATTAAAAACTTGGCTTGTGAGTTTGGGCCCCATATCAGGCTCACTGCTGTCAGCACAGAGCCCACTTTGTATCCTCTTGTTTCCCTTTCTCTCTGCTCCTCCCCTACTAGTTTTCTCTCTCTCTCTCTCTCTCTCTCTCTCTCTCTCTC